AATACTAAAGGTTATATGTTGTAGTTGACAAGGATATTAATTATAAAAATAAATCTCATCATTGTGGAACATATAGTCAAACTGGCCATAATGCTCATATTTGCAACTCTAATAATTCAAACAAACAGATAAATAGTTTAACTAGAGAATATAATACTAAAGAAAATAATAAAAATCCAAATTCAATGAGTATAGATATGTTAAGATTTTAATATATTATCCCTTAAACTGTAAGCTTTTCTAGGAAAATTTGCCTGAAAAATTATCATAAGGTAGGCATACCTATTTCCGGAGATTTTTTTTTGCTACATATAAAAATTCTTCGAATTTTCATATATATTTATAAAATTTTATATTTACGATCTACAAATAATCGACTATTTAAAAATAAAATTTATTTATATTTTACTTATATATAAAAATTCTTTTAATAATAAAGTTCGAATTTATATTATTTATAAAAAATAAGGAGGAACAAACCTATTTCCGTGGATACATAATATACGTGTTTTTTTTATTAAGTACGTTTGATAAAATTTATTAGGTAAGTATTTTCGTAATACTAAATTACAATAATATAAAACTTTTACATAAATCGGATGGTATTTTATTAATAGACTTGGCTGTTTAATTTTAAGTAAAAAAGTTATAAAAAAAATTTTTTTTTTTACGAACATTAAGACAAATAAACTAATCAAAAAAATTTTAACCAAGCTTTATAAAATTTTTATGACGCATGTAATTCGTTATGAAAAATATTTATTTACATTCTTTTGATAATTTATTTAATAAAAAATTATATTAATATACGATGATTAGCAATAGTACTTAATAATTAATACTTCAATTTCGCAGACAAATCAATTTTATTAAAACTTACATAAAACAAATTACTAAAGGTTATTATAAACCTATCTACCATCCAATAATACAAGATCCGATCCTATTTATTTTTAGCATTATTTTGGGCTTGCTTGTTTGTTTTATTAATAGCCCGTCGTTCCTTTCTTAATCTTGCATCTTCAGCCTTTTTTTGCTTTACATTTTCTCTGTCCTCCAATTCTTTTACAATGGATTCTGCAGTTACAAGTGTTCCGAATTTGAAGTTTTTGGGTCGGTTTTGAGGTTTTTTCTCAACTGACAATTGCTTCGAATGTGGATACTTCAAAATCGATGCTAAAGGCGCTGTTCCGGGATGTTCTAACCTTTGAACATATTCATGTAACCTTTTATTCTCATACTCAAGTTGAGTTAACTTGCTAGTCCTCGTATTATATATGTAAGTAGGTTCTGGGTTTGAAACAACAGGTTGAACGGGTTGAACAGGTTGAACAGGTTGAAAAGTTGGTAATGAAGGCATTAGGCGATCGGGATTAATAATATTGGGGTTCAAGGGCCAAATTCCAGTTGCGGCATATGCATTTTTAATTGCACTAGGAGTGTAGGTTTCATAAAATGCTTCACCGAAGACTTGAGCAAATAAACACTTCGTGACTTCAAGATTATTCTTAATATGATAACGATCTGATGCCTTGTCATATTCGGCTTTGAGTTTTTTAAAGGGAATTTCAGATGGTTGAAGAATATGAGTAGTGTTAGAAGGTAAAACGTAAAGAAGAATATTTTTATCCTGACAATATTTAATACTAGTTAAATCTATATGACTTGTGGCACCATCGAGCATAAGTAAAACAGGACGGGCAGGTGGGATTGAATTATTAAAGTGCTCTATGTACATTCTAAAAATATCTTCGTGCATATAACCAGTATCAGTAAATGCAGCAAC